CCAGGTGACTCTCTTCTAATAATATTCTGCAGCATTTCCTCCCTTCATTTTTTTTCACATTTAAATTCATATAATGCAATGCATGAGTTCATAAAACACTTCCTCCTATAATGTCCATGAAACAATAGCATTCCACCTCCTGTCCATGACCATGTAAATCCATTAATATTGTATTAAGACTTTTACTCTCTTTTTACTTCCTCAAAACTACATATCCCCATGCCTTCCAATATCACCAATTATGGTTCTCAAGTTAGTCAATCAACATTCTTCCTGATCAGTCTCCAGCTTATTGTCAAATCCAGCATCCATTTACTTGTCTTCAGATTCTTTGCCATTGTCGTTCCCATCTCTAAGCCTTGACTTATATATGTAGTATAGCCCATGCAGTGCCTTCCTCTGTGCCAATTTAAATCCAATGCACTCATCCTTCAAGGTCAGCTAAAGTCCTACTTCTTCTACCAGGCCTTTGCCAAGCATTGCAGTACATTAAAGACTTTGTCTAAAGCCACATTAGACTTGTAGTCTGCTTGACAAAATGGTCCCTCCTAAACATCGCTAGTTACCTCAAATATGTAGGCCTTGTTTTATCAACTTTGAAAGCATGCACACAAGTTTTTATTCCCTGACTGCCCAGCAAGGTGCTGGGCATATAGAAGTTGCTTCATGAACTTGCTTAATGGCTTAATTCTAAACAAATACTATTAAATAAATAATGATAGTAATATCATGGCACTGATAATTCTACTCTGAGTGAAACTATGATTTTTATAGGACTACTTAGAAAGCTACGGCAGAACGGCCATCAAAAAGCTTACAAATAATAAATGCTGGAGAGGGTGTAGAGAGAAAGGAACCCTCCTACACTGTTGGTGGGAATGTCAATTGGTACCGCCACTATATAGGGAGAACAGCATGGAGGTTCCTTAAACAACTAAAAACAGAACTATCATATGATCCTGCAGTCCCACTCCTGGGCATATATCCAGAGAAAAACATAATTCAGAAAGATACATGCACCCCAATGTTCATAGCAGCACTACTTACAATAGCCAAGACATGGAAGCAACCTAAGTGTCCAGCAACAGATAAATGGTTAAAGAAGATGTGGTATATATACACAATGGAATATTAGCCATAAAAAAGAATGAAATAATGCCATTTGCAGCAGCATGGATGGACCTAGAGATTATCATACTAAGTGAAGTAAGCCAGACAGAGAAAGACAAATATCATATGATATTGCTTATATGCGGCATCTAAAAAAAATGATACAAATGAACTTCTTTAAAAAAAAGAAACAGAATCACAGACAAGGAAAACAAACTTATGGTTACCAAAGGAGAAAGGGGGGGAGGCACAAATTAGGAGTTTGAGGTTAAAATATACACACTACTAAATATAAAATAGATAACCAACAAGGACCTACTGTACAGCAAATAGAACTATACTCAATATCTTGTAATAACCTATAATGGAAGAGAATGTATAAAAGTTATATATATATAATATATATATTTTATATATATATTATATATATAATATATATATAAAATATATATATATAAAAATATATATATAATATATATATATTTATATATATATATATATATATATATATATATAAAACCGAATCACTTTGCTATACACCTGAAACTAACACAATATTGTAAATCAATTATATTTCAATAAAAATTTTTTTAAAAAGAAAAAGAAGGCTATAGGTAGAATGACATAGTGGTTAAGAGTATAAGCCCAGACTGCCTGGGTTCTAATCCTGCCTCTATCATCTATTGGCTAGGTGACCTTGGGAAGGTTAATTAACATCTTTGTGCCTTAATTTTCCTCCCTGAAAATAGGGGAACATAACAGTATTTACCTCATGGAGTCATTATGAAGATCAAATGAGTTATGTGGGATACTTAAAACAATTTCTGGCATGTAGAAATTGTTCCATGAATGTCAGCTATTATTAAATGCTTATCACACATAAAATGATAGTATCTCAGAGCTAAAACAACCTTAACTTTATAAGTGAATGAGTTGAGGAATAAAGGTAAAATGATTGGCTCAAGGTCATATGGCTATTTAGAAACAAAGTCAGGAAACCAGCTCTCCTGACTTCTATTCAGTGTTTGTTAGTTTCCTCCCCAAGGTTTCCTTATCTGAACATGGAACTGAATTACAGAAGTTTAGAGTTGAAAGCGACATTCAAGGCTCTCCTGTTCATAATGCATAATCACTTGTCACAAACCTTTCATCTTTGCTGACATATTACATATTCTTAATCATCCAGACAGAAGATCCTAATACCATGGCTCCTAAGTTAAGAAACACATGAGGGATAGGAATGGATGCCAAGATCAGGTCCCCAGAGTCCAGATGACCATCACTAGATGAAGCCATTTTCAAAGTCTATATTTTGAAAAATAAGATTTCTTTTTCAGGGAAAACACTGTCTGGAATACTCATTATAAAGCGGTAATTCAGGTCATCCCACACATACATGAATGTTTTGCAGATAGCATGCTTCCTGGTAGGAATCTGAAATTATTTTGATGAACTTTGAATAATACTCTTTAGCAGCCAGAAAAAAAGGTGCAGGGGCATACCAACTACCCATACCAGGCATAATTCCTGAAGGTTTCAGCTTTCTCTGTGGTTCTCTGGAAAAATATTCAGCCTGGTTGTGCAGTCAACTGGCCTAGGGTTTTAAAATTCAATCTAGAAAATACAGACTCTCAAGAGGAATTGCAACAATAAAAGATTGCTATTAAACAGGCACTAATAAACCTGTGTGTAAGGATTCTCTCATCAGAAGCATTAGCATGCTATTCTCTGTCTCAACTCAATGGTAGGAGATTTAATTTCTCTTTAATGCAAATGAAACTGTTGCAATAATGGAGAAGGTTAAACTGAGTAACTATGCTGTGTGTCCACAAAGAATGTGTATCCACTTTCACCTCCCTCCCTCCTATAAACAAGACTCAAGTAATCTACAGTCTCTGTGTACGATTATTTAAAATGCCTAATTGTAGTATATGGACTCTGAGCTTTATGGCTTGGGATTTTAATCCTCTAAACAGGGAGGTCCAATTACTTGATTCTGGAAGTTGAATTACCTGCGTTATACTGAAGACTGAACAGACAGACTCCATTGATCCCACAGAGGATGTATCATTCCTACTCTCTGCTTCCATAGTATTTTATTTTTATCTCTAACTTTACTCATGATAATCTAACTTGTTACACCTAATCCTTTGTCTCCTTTGTAGAGTATAAACTCCTGAGGATAGAAGTCATATCTTATTTATCTCTGTATTATCCCAGAGCCTTACAGTGTTTTGGACATAGTAGCTGCTCAATAAATATTTTGACATTTAATTTTAATGGTACATATGTTATGCATTTCCCAGTTTAAAGTATTGTTAAAGGAATGTCACCTTTTTTTTTTTTTTTTTTTTCAAAAGTAAGAGTGGTGGTTTTTTTTTTTGCGGTATGCGGGCCTCTCACTGTTGTGGCCTCTCCCGTTGTGCAGCGCAGACTCAGCGGCCATGGCTCACGGGCCCAGCCGCACAGCGGCATGTGGGATCTTCCTGGACCGGGGCACGAACCCATGCCCCCCGCATCGGCAGGCGGACTCTCAACCACCGTGCCACCAGGGAAGCCCCGGAATGTCACCTTTGACATAACTTCCCTACCCATTTCTGAGAACTCTTGCCTTTGAAACATGAAAACGGACTTTAGCAGATTCATACTGTAATTTAGATGGCTATGTAAACAGTAAGGGAGTGCTTAGCAATTACTTGTTCAATTGTAATTTTATGAAAATTTGCAGAGATTTGAGTTTTCAGTTGGTTAAAGGGACCCAGCCATCTCAGAGGCATAGGAAGGAAAGATCTCAGAGGAGTGACTGGGAGGGTATCCTAGAAAGTTTACTTTGCCTTCTAGAAAGAAGCCTGACATCCAGGTGCTAATTTCAAGACCCAGAGAGCATGTTACGATCATGGCATTCCCAAGGCCTATCTTTCCTCTTTTTCCTCCATTTTTCTGAGAAATTGTCAGCTTGATGTTCAAGAAACATGTAGTTCATGCCCACTAGGCCCACAGACACGACTGGTGACATGATTTGCAGGGCCCAGTTGAAATAAAAAATGCAGGGCCCTTTGTTCAAAAATTATTAAGAATTTCAAGACAATGACACCAGAACAAGTGTGAGCTCTTCTAAGTATAGGGCCCTGTGTGACTGCAGAGGTCTCACATCTATGAAGCCAGCCCTGTTTTGTCTTCAAAGAACTTCTGGTACAATGAAAGGCAAACGGTTTGTATCAGATAGAAGCTACAATTCAAGTATGTACAAGATGCTACAGGAACCCAGAAGTTCCTAACTTTGGAAAATTGTCCCAGGGAGGTGACAGTTAAGCTCATTTCTGAGGGAGCAGTGCCAGGGAAGAACAATATTCCAGACTGAAGAACGGCAGAATTCACTTGACAAACTTCAGGAGACTTGTTACTTTTAGGAAGAGTGTAACGAGCAAATATGAAGGTGACTAATTGAGATTGAGAGTGGCAAGAAGCAGAAGCCAAATATATGGGGAAAAGGGGTCAAACAATTACAGAGTGCCTACTATATGCCAAGTTCTTTACCTCCATGTCATAATTTTAAACACAACAATCTTGTGAATAAACTGTCATGCCTGGTTTACCAATGGGTTAGTTTAGGTCCAGGGTAATAATAGTCAAAGTGCTTGGTACACATGACATCCAATAAGTACTTGAGGAATTACTGGCGGGTTGTCTGACATTGCCCAGGACTCTTAAACCCCAGGCCAAACTGATGCTAAGCATGTTGTTAACCCCTTCAGTGGCCCTTCCCGCCTTGCACCTCTCCCAGTCCCCAAAGTACCCTTCCTTCCCTCGCGCCCCGCCCCCGCGTTTCCACGTGCCGGAAAGTAGGCAGCAAAAGTACTTCCGGGATAGCAAAGGTCGGCCCCGGCAAGATGGCGGCGCCCTTGGAGCTCAGGTGCTGGGGAGGCGGCTGGGGGCTCCCGTCGGTGCACAGCGAGTCACTGGTGGTGATGGTGAGGCCGCCTCGCGGGCCAGAGCGCGAGAAAGAAGGGGCGGGGCCAGAGACGCGAGGCTGGCTGGTCCGGGTCCCGGCGGCTGGGGTTGGTTCCCGCGGCGCTCGGGCCCGGCCGGCCGGGGCGCTGCTCGCTGCACCGCCCGGGGCTCCCTCCCGTCCAACGAGTTACAGCCTAGCCTGTAGCCCCGCCGAATCCTGGAGGAGAAGTCATGGCTTCTCCGCTGGGCTCCGAGTTTTCTCAGCCTTGCAAAGCCGTCTGTGCAGTGGAATGAAAGCCCAAAACAGTAGGCGCGCGCTCCCCGCTCTGCATCCCTCAAACGTTTGGGGAGAAGAAAGTCCTCGAAATCTTGGTAGCGCGCAACCCCGGCTAGAAGTAGCGGGAGGGACGCAGCCCTCGAGTCAGGCGTTTCTGCCTTCCGGGGACCCGGCTTTGAAGTAAAGCTGCTCTGCAGATTTGCATTACGTATTCAGTCTAAAATGTTTTATTGCAAACTCTCTTTCAGGCTTACGCCAAATTTTCTGGTGCACCCCTGAAAGTCAATGTCATAGATAACACCTGGAGAGGTTCAAGAGGTACAGTGTAAACTTTTAAACACCCATTTCTGCGCTCTGTAAGCACCCTTCCCCCTCTTATTTAAAGCTAGGGGGCTTGTAGCCATGGAGTACCTTGGGGTTTTAGTTCTTACCATGACCTTAGCTGTGTGTTGCTTATGTTTTGATCATTCTGAGTAATACTTCAAAGGAGAAGCCAAATCAGTGGAAATTATGAGAAATGAAAATGCTCTCCAAAACTTTTTGTGTGTGTGTGAAATTGCAAAAACCTAAGATGAGTTACTCATTTTTTTCTTCTCCAAATGTGACTGGCGTAGTTTTTAGGGTATTGGAGTCTCTTCAGAGGAAATCGAAATGCTTCCTTATATGTAAACTGTGTTTTGATTACAGGAGATGTACCAGTTTTGACAACTGAAGACAGTATTGTTTCTCAGCCGGCAAAAATACTAAACTTTTTAAGAAAACAGGTGGGTTCTTTCTGGAGAAGTAGATTCTTGATCCCTGCATGTTGCTTCCAAAGAAAGTGCATTAAAAATTTTTTTTTAGAATTCTTTTTTGGACATACATAGAGCTTGATATAAGAATAGATTTGAGAGTCACTGCTCTAAATCATGAGTTGTACTGTGATTCTAAAGCCATATAGTGAGTTATAGTCAATTTATATTTTCACGCACTTTGCTTGGTTTTTATTGAAGTTTAGGTGTAAGTAGATTCAATTTAACCATTTTCACTATTATACTTATTGATATGATTGTAAATTTAGTTCCATAATTGCTACACATTTTGTGCTTGGTGTGAGGTCTGAGTTCCCATCAACTAGCAACTATTTATTTTTTAAAAACACTTAAACTAATAGTTGCAGTTAAATGTTTCATGAAATAATGTATCCAAAATATCTGAACATGCCAAGATTTATATATCTAAAATGTTTAAGCTGTAACAATTTACATAAATGCAAAAGTTATCATTGATTTTGCCAACAGTTTAAAAAAAGAAGTCCTATATCAACAAAATTTAGAACTTTTCTCAGTTGGAAGGTTTTCTCTTTTCAAGGGGAAAATGCTACTAATTAGAACTTTTTCCTTATTGTTAACAAGAATAATAATAGCCTCTATTAAGTTTGTACTACATGCCATGCACTAAACTAAACTAGGTCATTAACAATCATTGAAATAATAGTTAATAATAAATAAACACCTAAAACTAACATTTATTGACCTTAACGTGTGCATGATGCTGTGCTAAGAACTTTATTTGCATTAAGCAGCATTTGTCACTGAATTTGTATTTCTCTTTTCCCCTTTTAATGTGTTTGCCATTTTTGAAGAAGAATAGGAGTCCTAATTTATTTAGCTTCACTGTTGTGGGATGTTCTTGACTTATGAGGTTTTTGGTTTTATATTTTTTAATAGAAATATAATGCCGATTATGAACTGTCAGCAAAACAAGGGGCAGATACACTAGCTTACATTGCTCTCCTCGAAGAGAAGCTTCTTCCTGCAGTGGTGAGCATTGGTGAATATTACAGTATTTTAGTGACTTACTGAAAATGTACTTAGTCGATTTAGAAGAAAAATAATGAAAAAGGCTTAAGAGAAGAAATTTCATTTATGTATCAGTCTTGATTCTTTCATGTAACTGCAGAACTGGGTTGATCCTGTTAGACATTCAACTAGTGTATGAAACAACGAAGTGAAAGATAATGTCATTTTGGAAATAAAGATTCTCTGTGAAAGATTGGAGTTTGTCCATGTATAGAGTTGGGCCAACTGTAATTCATTCATTCAACAAATATTCATTGAGCACCTACGATGTTCCAGGCCTTATTCTGGGTGCTTGGGATAGAGCAATCAACAAAACTCACACATTTAAAAACCTTGGTTTATCCTTGAGTCATCCTAATTGGAAAATTTGTATGGAGTCAACTTCATTCAGAGATATTTATGAAAAACTTTCACATTGATTGAGGATCTTCCTTTTAGTAAAAGAATATCCTTGTAGTGTTTTTTCCCTCCTTTTGCAGCTTCACACATTCTGGGTTGAGACTGACAATTACTTTACTGTGACAAAGCCATGGTTTGCTTCACGAATGCCTTTTCCCTTGAGTTTGATCCTGCCTGGAAGAATGTCTAAGGGAGCACTGAATAGGATTCTCCTGACCAGGGGAGAGCCTCCCCTCTACCACCTCCGGGATGTAGAAGCTCAGGTATGGTTGGAATTACCTTCAGAGCAAGGGACCTCCAGAGGAGGGACAAGAGAAAGAGCAGGGATGAACTTACCTATAGATGCCAGTCTGAAAAGGAGTTCTCAAGTATCTTTCCTACCTTTGAGATGTAATTTCGTCCTTATTAGATATACAGAGATGCCAAGGAGTGCCTAAATCTTCTGTCAAACAGACTGGGAACATCTCAGTTTTTCTTTGGAGATACGTGAGTGCATTCCCTTAAAAACCATTTTGATGTTTTGTTTGCATGTATTCGGTGAGCAGTTATTTAAAGCAGGTTCCCTTGCCTGGTCCTCCCACCCCATCCCCAATGAGTTTTTCACTAAAAAAAAAAAATTTAATGGATTTTTACTATAGGAAACTTTTTCTGTTGTGGTAATCTTACATTGACTTAATATGCTACATATGTGAATTTGAAACTTCTAAGACTATTCCCACCATGTCTACAGTCTCTATATAACACTTATGAGTAAAAATGAATCTTTAATTTACAACTTAATTTTCTTCTAAATAAAATGGGTAGAGTATTTTTTAAAAGCTACAAGTGAGTAAAACCCTAGCTGCATCATTTTTATAAGCTGGAATGGGTAATAAACCTTTTAAAAGACCATATTGTATACTTCAGAATTGACAAATGTATTTGAGAAAAAGTTTTTTTTTTTTAACATAATCCCAAATTAATATTTTCTATGTGCTTTTAAAAAATCCTTAATTTATTTTTAGGCCTTCTACTTTGGATGCCTATGTGTTTGGTTTTCTCGCACCTCTTTATAAAGTATGCTTTCCTAAAGTTCAGTTACAAGAACATTTGAAACAGCTCTCCAACCTGTGTCGCTTTTGTGATGACATCCTAAACAGTTATTTTAGGCTTAGTCTTGGAGGTAAGCTGGTTCCTCTTCAGCTAATCTTTGTTTGCGTAGAATACTTGCGTATTCTCCTAAGGATGTATAAGCCAAATTCATTACTTATTAAAGAAGTTTGTATATTGTCTTTAAATGCTGGTTTATAGCACTTCAAAAAGTTGCAATTTTCCAACTTTATTTTTATTCCCATGTGTTAGTTCTTCTTTAAATAGAGAAATATATGTTTGCCGTTTGTCTGTTCTGGATTTTATACAGTTCTTGCTTCTTGTTCTTTAAATATTGCTCCTTTGAAGTGGGTCATTTTCTTCTAAAAGTTAACCACAGGTATTTATTGTGTCCCTGCCGAAAGATAGCATTTATCCTAATGCAAATGGGCAATTACTTTAAATGTTGCTTCTAGCATTTTCCTGTGTGAACAGAAATGAGCAGCAGATTGATTTTGGTGAGGTACACTCCCATGATTCCACTACTTCTGATTGCATCAGACTGGAGGTATAGTAAACAGAGGGCACCTGTCACTTAGGCTCTGATTCTTCGAGAGTGTTGGGCCTTGTGCTTAAGTGATTGGGACACAAAATTTGTATGGGGAGAGTTGGCCAGAATTGTCCTTTTAAGAAATAGAAGTCATAAGGATCGTTGGTTTAGGGACAGTTTACTTTTTCTAGTGGGTTATGTGTTTTGTATATAATACACTTGTATATAACAAGGGAGGGGTTAGTTAGTTTGGGGGTCATGAAACTGAGTAACTTTCAACCTTGTTACTTGGGAGCAGTGGTTAGCAAACCTGACTACAGAACAAATACAAAATCTTGGGTCCTATACCAGATTCACTGAATGAGAATCCCTTAGGGATGGATCCCAGGAACCTGTATTTTTTAAAGTTCCTCCAAGTATTTCGGATGCTTTGTGGATAGCTGTTTGGGCCTTAGAAAGCTGTTCAAATAGTTGTAACTAAAGACCTATGTGAAATGGGGGGGAAGGTACAAGTCAAATTTGAGAAGGAAATGAGGACTGTTGTGCTCTAATGACCTTGGCTGTCTGCATAATGCTTGGCTAACGGTCTCCTTAAGGACAAATTTAGTCCTTTGGCTTAGGGTTTGGTTTTGGAGCATTACTTTCCCTCTTAAGTTTGCCTTTGAACCCAGAATGGTTTTTCACTTTGCTCTTTTTGGAGGGTGTGGTGGGCAATGGGGCACTTAGGAGGGTGGATAGACTCAATATTCTTTGAATCTAAACAGCTTGTAAGGCTTTCAGAATTTCCTCTTTCTCATTTCTGTCCTGGCTTCTTAGGCATCTCTCCTGCTGGACAAGAAACGGTAGATGCAAATCTGCAGAAACTCACACAACTTGTAAATAAGGAATCCAACTTGATTGAAAAGGTCAAGTTTACTTCAATTGTTATTTTATGGTAGTTTAGTATTTTCCTTTCTGCAATTAATATTGTTTTGGGTTATGCATTAACTTTACCTTTTCAGTTTTTCTTTTTGTTTAAGTTTATTTTTTCGGAAAGCTGTTTAAACATACATTTACTAAAGCTGTACAAAATACAGTGTTTTGAAGCCAGTAATGGCCTGATTGCTATGGGGAAAGATCTGATAATGGTATTGGATTTACTTTTACCACCCAATTAGTAGTACTTTTCAAGTTAGGAGACCCAAAAGCCTGGCTTCAAAAAAAGAGAGAAACAAACAAAAAAACACTTCTTGCTTGCTTGTCTGCTTCTTTCTGTCTCTGAGGGTTAAGGTTTCTTGAGATTGTAAGCACCTGTGCTTATCCTTTCTTGCTACAAGAACTATGGTGTGTTTTTCTTTCTTCCACATAAGTGGTTTTATTTTGTCTCCTTCCTATCCTCTGTTCTAAATGTTGTCTACAATTTTTGCCAGTGTGGCTAGTTTGCCACTTAGGGAGTATGCATTTGTTGAGAGAGATATTGAGGAATTGGGTAGGGGAGGGAGCCAACAATGGAAATTTCAAGGGTAATTCTAATTGGAAAAATACAAGGGAGTTATGCATTTTTTCCTCAAACGTTTGATAAACTTGCTTTTTTTTCTTATGCAAATGCATAATGCTTTATTCTTTCACAAACTAATAGGTCATTGTGGCTTAGTAACACTGGCTAGAGGATTTGGGAGATTGAGTAACAGGCACTGTGTTATATGAGCTTTATATGAGTTATCTCATTTAATCTTCACAGCAGCTCTGTGTGTGCAGGTACTTTGTCATTCCCATTTTACAGATGAGATACTGAAGCTTCGAGAGTAGCTTATAACATCACCTGCCCGAGGCCTTTCAGCTGGCAAGAGGTAGAGAGGGAATTTGAACCCTAGAAATCGGATTCCAGCATGGGCTTTGCAGTTAGTCAGTCATCTAACTCATGAATGAAAGTATGTATCCATTACTACTGGTGGTAATAGCCAGATTTATAACAGCCACTCTCTGGAATGACCATTTTATTTCTTTTTATGGTATTGCATGTACCTCTTATTAAAGTTTGGGTAAGCTGAATGAAAGCCAAGTTTGTCTTAATTCATAGCCTAACCCAGCAAATCTCATGAGAGGAAATACACTGAGAGTTAAGTGTGGATAATGGAAAGATTACTCAGACTGTTTTAGATACTTTTCTGCTAGATGAAGGCTATCCAGTATAGCTTCCATTTCTATCTGTGGCAAATTCATTAGACATGTGAAGGGAACCACGAAATACCTACATATGCAGAAAGTGAAGCCAGGAGCCCCTGTCACCACTTGGTACAGTTCCATTTTGGCATTATCAATATATGAGAGTTTCCTGACCCTATATCAGCACCTCTCTCCCCCCCACTTCCCATCTGCTCTTCAGTACAGTTCACTGTTTGCTACAAGACATTAGAACAACAAATTCTATTGGCTACCACCGTTCACCATTTAGACAGGAAATCTAGAGCTTAAAAAAAAGAATCAGTTATGTTTGAGGAACTTAGTTCTTGCAAGGAAAAAAAAGACATCACAATTGATTCAGATAGTTCACTGGGAATACTTTTTCCCTCGGAAAATTAAGAGTTAATCTTTTATTCTTTTCCCTTTATTATGAACCCTATGTACCTGTGCTGAAACATTTCCCCTGTACTTTATAAAAGCATCTTGAGAAGATAAGAGAGTTTTGGGCTGCTTATATTCAAAACTCGAAAAAAGCCTACCTATCAAGTAGATGATAAGATGCTATATTCTGTTGGTTTTGGGTCATTGATGGCAGCTGCTTTCAAGTCTTTTATGAAGCAGCTTAACACCAGGACCTTGCACTCTGGTTTTGGGGTACCCTGGTTAAAGGTAGTTTTCCGAGGTCTGACTCAGTTCTAAGTAGCCCCTGTCCTAGTGTTTCCCGGGATGCTAACGTACTCCTTAGGGTACGTCTGAAACTCTTGGGCATTTTCTAAATATGCTCTTGATTTGTTTCTCTGGAGCAGACTTAGAACTGATCCAGTGTTGACAGTGCCTCTGGATTAGGTCTAAAGAATTTATCCTTCTTTCTGTCTCTTTTCTTAGCTTCTCTTGGTCTAAATAGTCATAGCCTTAAAGAGGTGATCTTTTTGAGTGGAGTACAGGTCATTTTTATTGAGGCAATGAGATAATAGTTGAAAGAACAATAGTGTTAGAATAAAAAGACCTGTGTTCACATTTCAGTTCTGATGCTAGCTTTGCAACCTAATGCAAATATGGTAACCTTTCTGAGCTTCATTTTGCTAATCTGTAAAATAGGGAATGATTGTGTCCGACTTTTTTTTTTTTTCCTTTACAGTTGTGTTGGGAAGATCAAATGAGAACATACTTTGTAAACTGTGGAGAGTAATGTAACAGAAATACTGCTTTTACACTTAATATTAGAAGATCTCTTAAACCAAGTTGTGCTGTGGTTGAGTTCAGTAGACTATTCATTATGTGGAATTACTGTAATTTTGTGAAGTCATCAAGGATGAGCCATATTGCTTTCATACATATACTGAGTGAGCCAGTATTTAGGTATGATGTTTAGAATTCTTGAGAGATTATTTGCAAGAAAAAGTTTTCTCTAGCAGTCCTAGAAACATAAGGTTCGGTACTCTTCTAGACTATAGTTTGGATGGGGAGGCCACAGTCCATGTAAGTGGTGCCATAGCCATAAGTCAGATGTACCTTTTGTACTTTCCACAGATGGATGACAATCTTCGGCAAAGCCCTCAACTTCCTCCTCGGAAACTGCCAACACTTAAATTGACTCCAGCAGAAGAAGAAAGTAATTCCTCACAACGGCTATCACCCTGACAGTCTTCATGCTTTGTGTCCAAAGTCATATAAATTGTTGCAGTAATCTCTTACACTAAGTGTGTGAAGGCAAAAAGAAAATTCATGAATAGGTATAAGGAAGACTCTAAAACAAAAGAAACTTTCTATGACAGCAGTTTCTTTTTAGTTAGGAAGCTCGTGTTTTAGCTTGGCAATGCACTTTAAATAACATCAAGGTAAATGCTAAATGAACTTGGGGAAAAAAGAAAACACGTTGTACTGTAAATAAAAAACCTGCCTTAACCTTGGCAGACATTTGCCTTTGGTTCACATGTTGCTGGCCCAAAGCTACACTTCTGTTCTGAATGTGCACTGTTAGTTTATTCAAGTTAATTTATTAATTTAGTATCCTTAGACCAGTCTAAATATCTAATATGTGGCTCTTTGGCTGAAGCCTTTTTTTCTTCTGTTTAGAAATCTGATGCCTATTTTAGATGTTAGGAAAAATACATTATTCTAATATTCCATTTACTTCAATAGAAAAGCCTGTATTTAACTTTAAAAAGCAATGAGGAATGTGTTTTTTAATTATGCTCTCATAAGTCTAATCTTTGGGGGAGTTACTACCATACATATAAATATTAAAGATGGTTACATATAATATTTGTCTGACTATATGCACTTCAGTATAACAGTATTTGCTCATGTGTTCAGTACAGGTTAGCAAGGGCTGTTTTAATTCATTGGAGCTTTAGACCTGTGTATTTGTAGTACCTCTTTAACTCTAGTCATCTCTTTCTTCGGTTGGTTGCAGGAGAGCTGAATGTATTAGCATCGTTATTATGCCAGGCTGTAAAGTCTAACTGACACTTGCCCGGTTGTTAGACACTACTCAGGAGGAGCTCACTGCCAGAGAACTAGAAGTACCTACTGTGCACCTGGTCCAGGTTCACCATGCTTGGCTCAGACCAGTGTTCTTCCTAAGAAACATATCATGTAGTCAAAACCTTTATGACAACTAATTATTTTCCAGAGAGTTAACTACAGTTGAAGGATTCAATGGAGTAATCGGAAATAGCAGATTTTAAAGAACATTTTCTATTTATTGGTTGCTGAACTGTTCAGAGATTTGCTGTGTGGGTAATTTTACTTACAATAGAATCTTGCTTATTTTAGTGGCTGAGGTGCTTCTGCTGTCCTAAAACTACTTCTGGGGTTTTTAAAATATAGGACCATGTTTTTGATTAGTGTCTTAAAAGATTACTATGGTGCTCAGCAGATCTTGTCACATCCTGCAGAAACCCCCAGGTTAGGAAAACAGTTTTGGACTCAAGAGACTTGTCTAATTTGAGCTGAGTGGAGCTCAGCTGTGTTTGACCTGCATCCTCTCAATTTGTTCTGTATTTAGGTAGCTATTTATACAGAAGTCTTTATGTCATTGTAAATATTTTTTCTTGAACGTTTTAATGAAAAACAGGGTAGTCTTCAAAGTCTTGTTCATCTGTTTGGATGCATTGAGAGAAAGAAACTACTGAGTTTCACATTACTTCTGCAACAGGTGGGGGGGAGAGAGAGAGAGAGAGAGAGAGAGAGAGAGAGAGAGTGTGTGTGTGTGTGTGTGTGTGTGTGTGTGTGTGTGTGTGTGTGTGTGTGTGTGTGTGTGTGTGTGTGTTATGCGTTAGTCTTCTGTTAGAGTCCAGCAATCGGAAATCTGTTTGAATATTCTGTGTTGGAAATCATGACCATAGGACTTCATTGTCCTCTAGGATTGATGTTTATTGGAGATGGGTGGTTAGCACATTAATCATCTGCTTATGCTTTAGTCAGGGTTAGTCATTTTTTTTTTTTTTTTTGCGGTACGCGGGCCTCTCACTGTTGTGGCCTCTCCCGTTGCGGAGCACAGGCTCCGGATGCGCATGCTCAGCGGCCATGGCTCACGGGCCCAGCCGCTCCGCGGCATGTGCGATCCTCCCAGACCGGGGCATGAACCCGTGTCCCCTGCATCGGCAGGCGGACTCTCAACCACTGTGCCACCAGGGAAGCCCCAGGGTTAGTCATTTTTGATTATGATTTCTATTAAAACTTTCAAAAAGGATTTGAAGTGACTTACAATTGTCAAACGTGTAAAACAGGACAATTAAAATTAGTTTTCGGCAAAATAAAAAATTTGTAGGAGAAAGAACTATATTAACCCTAACAGATTCTAAAATTGAATGGTAAATTTAACTCCAGGTTTCTCCATGGGCAAAGTCAAAGGATAATACTGGGTTATGTAAAGTTTTCTGTCAATAAGGTTACTACTGTCCATGAGTAAGCAAAATGTGTTTACATTTTTATAAGAATGTGGAATATCTTATTCTTATGACACAAAGATGCAGCCAGTAAGCATACTGTAATGTTTGGTGTGTTGAAAGTTTAATAAAAGAAATATCATTCTAGAATAACAAGTATCCTTTTTCAGTAGGAAGATGACTGTAAATATGATTTATTTCCTTTT